TTCGCTAAATGTAAGACATTGTTCGTAGTTTAAGATTTTCGTGGTCAAGGAAGTTATTTCAGTTGCACTGACGTGTTTGTACTCAACAATTCAATATATATAGTTCGTCCAGATTAGTTGTTAGCATGTATTTATTCATTCCCACTATATTATTATAAAACCAAACAAACATTAAAAAATGACACTTACACATTTCGTTAAAAGTGAAAAAGATGGCAAGACCGGTACACTGGATATATGCTTGTATGATAATGTTAAATGAACACAATGGTGGAACCAGCGCATTGGATATATGCTTGTATGATAACGTTAAATGAGAATGAACGATAAACCAGCACACTGGATGTATGCTTGTATGATAATAATAAATGAACACGATGGTTAAACCAGCGCATTGGATATATGCTTGTATGATAATGTTAAATGAACACGATGGTTAAACCAGCGCATTGGATATATGCTTGTATAATAATGTTAAATGAACACGATGGTTAAACCAGCACACTGGATATATGCTTGTATGATAATGTTAAATGAACACGATGGTTAAACCAGCGCATTGGATATATGCTTGTATGATAATGTTAAATGAACACGATGGTTAAACAAGCGCATTGGATATATGCTTGTATGATAATGTTAAATGAGAATGATCGATAAACCAGCATACTGGATATATGCTTGTAAGATAATGTAAAATGAACACGATACTTAAACTAATACACTGGACTTATGCTTGTATGATAATGTTGATATCTTACAAGAGCGTCCATGTTTATTCATATGTATCCACTATGGTGGGCGGTATGCACTTGTCAATACCTCAGTTTATCACAGCACGCTAGGCTAATTGAACTGGCACAGTTGGGGTAATGACGGGTAAACTGTTACGAGACGGGTTATTTTCAGTTACTTGACTACAGATCAGCCGATTCAAAACTTGTATTTAAAACGTCATAATGATAAAACAAATCAAAGTGTGTCGGTCTATGAAACAATGTAACATTTGACTTTTACACATATTTATTTTATTGCGATCCATCGAATGTTTTTTTTATGAGATCACTTAAAAACGTCTTTATATGTTTATTCAGATTTTTATCGATTCCCACAACATATAATCACTATTTGTCCATCGTTAACTCTAGAAATAAAAATGTTATTTAACAAGCTGTTATGAATATATACATTTACACCGGATATAGGTTTTAACACCTATTTCATGTACATATTATTAATATGCGCGAGGTGGTTCTGCGTTAGAACGGTTCCCAGTAATCTAAATGGATGGGTGGTCAAGCTTAGAGACTTTGTTGATCGTACTCCCGGTTGCGTGGATCGTTACTCATAATATCAATCACTTTTTTATTTGTTCCAAAGCCGATTACTTACAGATCACCGCCATACAGCTGGAATGCTGCGTTAAACAGCAAGATTGGGTGAGTTTAATGTCGTTTTGAAAAGTATTTCAGTTACATCACGGCGTGTCAGGCTGATGTGGTAGGAAAACCTGACATAGTGCAGGTCGTAGACGTTTACCACTTTGTTGAAACTCGCATACACGGTCTTGATGCTGACAAACCAAGACACCTAATCACGGCAAACTGGGAATAGAACCCGCGATCATAGGTTGTTATTTTTCTAACACGCCAAAGGAACTCGGCAAAGCGAATTGTGGCACCTCAGACGATTTGGCCACCCACTGCCCCCTTAACAACAAAGAAACAAATATTAACAGGTACATGTCTTATTTGAGATCTATGAAGGGATGAGAATAATTGTGACAATCATTCGAAAACTAATATAGATCTATATGTTTAAAAATAAACAAACTGGAATAATGCTCTCTGATGGTACACGATAACCCAGAATATATATAATGAAAATCGAGTCAATTTCCCTGTTGGTTTGAACATTCACAATGCACTCTAAATAGCATGATAATATCGTTTATCATATAGTGGGTAGGTTTCTCGGCAGGGTAAAGCCAACGAATACAAGCTGTATCCGCTGGGATCATTTACTTATAAATATGCAAACATAAAATGTCAGGTAGGTACTACTTTCAGTGTTTACAAACAAATAACCATGTCTATCGACAATCGAGTCAGAATTGACGATCGGGGAACCCCGGCAAATTGTCAAACATTCAAAATCTAAGATAACGAAAATCAGTATCTAAAAGGGGCGTAGTTGAGGCCATTCACAAGTGTAGGCAACATTGGAGATAGAAATTTGCGAAGAAATTTAACGATGACGGTTAAAAATGACAATTAAAAACAGTTAGACTATGTCACACACATTACCTTGTTTCTTTTTTGTCGCCGTGTTGGATATATGACTGCATTTCGTAATCACGAAAGGTTATGACAGGTCATGCAAACTAAACAAATGTGATCATGACTTCTCATTGACTAGAGTAACTTCCCTGGGCAAAGGGCAGTTACTCTAGCGGGCGGACTGATGCAAAAGGCAATCACTGACATTGACAAATTATGTGAAGGCAATTGTCTTTTGTAATCTGCAACACCATTTTAAGTTGAACTATATTGACTATTGTCACTGTCCGATTGACTAATCACTGACCTTGTGACGTAATAAATTAATGCGCACATTCCAGAAAAAAAACTTGCAATGTTTAGATATTGTTTGTAAGAAACGAGGATACTTTTTTCGAAGATATAATGACATTATATGATAAAGAGGTGACGTCGCTTGTATGTTTTGGATGGTAAATATCCTATATTAGGAATAAACACTCTGTATTTAACTCGACAGGGCTTGCTAAATACAATGTTTACTCCTAATATTGGATAGTAACCATCCTGATCACACTCGCGTGATAACCCATTGATCCTTTTTCTTTAACCTAATTACACGTGTGTAACCAGTGAAATATTCATTTTGAGAACAACATGTGCATTAAATATTTATTAAACGCATTTTAAATTAGTTCTAGAAAGTATTAAAAACTGAAGATGCCTATGTAGGAAAAATGGACAACACATGGGCTTACTTTGATGCAGTAGTAGTGTTTTCGACATTTTAAGATTGTATTATAATTAGTTCCAATGTCAACTTTATGTTGTAGCCACTTTAAATATTTGTTCAGGATTTCTGGTTGATGACCATTTTTAATTAAATGACATTGCTTATTACGATTCTCTGAGTTTTCTTTCCTTTTTTCATTGAGAATATTTAATAAATTAAAACATTCAACTGTGCTAAAGAAAACAGACGGAAACATCTCCACAATAATGTGGACGGTTTGTGGTCAGTCAGGCGAACCTTCGTACTCACTATCATTGTGACAAAGGTCTGCTTAAAGCTATCATTAACTATGAATTCTTGGATTTGCAGTTTATTTCTAGGTCTTACATACCCACAATTGTTTATTTGCCTCCCCTGTTCTGTCCCACCTAAATCTCGCCCTGTTCTACATACCTAGCGTTGTTGATGAAATGTCTCCGTGATAAGATGGTCATCCCAGCCCTCTGGCCCCGACTGTCGACATCATCATCTATCACATCAAAGACATGGACAATTTGGAGTAACTCCTCCCCTACTGACCTCCCTAATTGGACACACACCAGATACATCAGTGTGGACAGACCCTAGGCTGGAAGTCCGCTTTACATCACTGTGATGGAGTGTAATGAGATTTAATTAGTAAGCGTGTGTCGTGTGATCTTCAACGCTGAGTAGCAACACACCACTACATACACTACTACATGTATATCAGAACACAGATACAGCAATATTTCTAGAGCATGGCTCTACATGAATAAATATCATTTTGTGACATGGGACATCTACAGAATATACCAAGACATCACATGCAGTGATACATGTTTTGTGCAATAGATATTTCAATAGTTACAGATTGTGTCGTAAACAGTGCCATCGATCTACAAGCAATATGAGTTTGCTGGCGTTAGCATTTTGGTTTTTATTAATTAACAATATATATATATTTTATTTTTTTTGCTGTTCAGTTATAGGTTGTTATCATTCCGACTACTGTTTTTTCCGTAAATTGAACATGTGCACATTACAAGGTTGATTTTAAGACAGGGGACATTATACAGACGAACTCTGGAATTTTATATGCTAGATGTACGTCCAAACTATTGCTAAATAGGATTTTGTTATGTTTCTCTATGAAACTATGCTTAACTGGGTTTTGGCCCGAGAGACGTCTGAAATGAACCACTTCAGGCTTATTGCGGTATCTGACAATGAGACGGTCATGTACACAGTGATAACGCATAGTATTTGTCATTGCCAAAGCATTTTGAAATATTGACACATACATGCAACTATGGCGCCAAACATACATTTGTAATGATTACATATGTATTTTACTATTACAGGTGTCTTTTTATTTGTTGAATTTCCATTTTAATATGAAAGTTTTCAAGATTGTTATTGAATATAGCATTGGCGACATTCACATTTCGACAAATGTTCATACATGTGGACTATCTGGTGTTGGGTTCATCGCCGCCATTTTGATATGAATTCCGCAATCGCAAGGAAAAGCATATTTCCATTCCATTCAGTTTTCTTCTTGTGCATTGAACTTAACTGTACATCAAGTAATTATAATACGCCTCATCAAGCCTTGTTAAGATGTGTTCTGTCGCTTTTCTTAATATAATAAGGTGTTTGGCAGTGTAAGGAAAGTGTACATTAATACATTTAGCATACAAACGTTGCATTATGTCCTCTATAAACTAGTAAGTCAGTATACATAACTCACAGACCATTTAAACGTATGAACATGGTTTCAGAGATTTCTCTAATTTGAATACCTGTACTCTCATCATGCGCACCACACGGATGTTACGCTCAAAACTGACGTGCCATAACAGTAAAACAATCGTAATTGATTGTATTTTGGATCATGATTTTTCCTTAATTGATACATTTAAAAAGTAAGCATGCATTTATTGAAAGCATGAAAAATTGCGATGTAATTTGAGAGCGATGTGCCCTACCTGAACGGCAGTCCTTCCAAAGCTATTTCTCCCATTGACATCCACTCCTGTTTGGAGGATGTCTCGCACCTTGGTCAGATCGCCATTCGCCGCCGCTGTGGTCAGGTCGTCCACGGTGAATTCGCCACACCTTATTTCACCTTCTCTCGCCATGAGCGATGCCTAACGTCTGATCTGTCCAGCCTCGATGACAACAAAGCATATTTGTAAGCCTGCAAGTTAGTCTTCAACTATTGGCTAAACAGAAGAGCTTCGTCCAATAAGAGTTGAAGTTTCTGAAAAGAGAAGGTGGGGCTTACATTGTAATTATATAAAGAAGTGAAAATTTGCAGGGTGAAAGCGCACGTTAAATCTCCTATATCAGTCAGTCAGGCAGTCTGCAGGGTGAGCAATCTCACTGTCAAAATAACTCCATAATAGAAAATATGTTATCAATGATAATTCAACTCTTATCCATAAACTATATATATGTTTCACCAGAAAGCTTTGAATGATTTATAGCCACTGAATACGAACTACCTCCACACAAACAATGATATTTTGAAATAAAATAACGTATATAATATATAAGATCCAGACGCTCTTCGATAAGCACAAGGCATCGCAGACTGACACATGAGGTAGTTGATCAAAAGGTTCCCTGTACGTACAACGCGTACATAGTAGGCTAGATACACCCCACAGATGTTTATGTGGTTACATATATATGTTTTAATAAATACATTCTTTCCAACCATATTATTCCACTGGAAATTAATCTTTTGCAATAGGATCATATGTAAATATAATCTCAAATACTATGCTGGTTCCAATTCCAAATGAAACATCGCTTAATTTCAATTATAGGAAAGGGATGTGTGTGGATATACATGCTTGCCTAATCTATTCGTCGCTGAATTGGAAATGAAGTCTATGTATCAAAGACGACATCTGTACTTCTAGCATGTGTATTGCGAAATCAACGTCATATCGTACGATTATATTGTTGGCTTTTGGCACATTCCTTGTGTCAGATAATCCTTTAAATAAAGCTTTAATAGTCGTGGCGTGTAAACTGTTTCAATAATATACGTTCACAGGGTGGCTGCAAAACCGGGACAAGGGAACTGTCTATTTTACCACATTTTGTTTGTTGAGAAACATTTATGTCAGTCAGTCCAGCCGTGAATACTTTGACGTCCACACTGTGTGTCAGTACAGATAGGAGACTCGCCACAGCATTGCAAAAGAGTACGACGAGAAATAGAACTTAATATCATATCTATATTTCAATTATACGTAAACAGATATTTCCTCTACGTGCAATTTTAAGAACAACGATCTAATAATAATTACTTTAGAAACGCGCGGAATCGAAATGCTATTCCAAGAACACTTACAAAGATAGTTAACGGTTGTTTTGTTTTCCATTTCACTACAAAACTTGTCAAACAACACGTACTGTGCAGCAAAACAGCTGTGCATACCTTTAATTGTAGCAAGCACCTTGTAGCAGTTCTATTTCATGAAAACTATTGTGAAATGCGAATGCAATAAAAATACATGCAAACTCAAGATTAACTGAAAAAACGCAAAAGCAATACATTTCCATTTATGAGATATCATAAAAGTTAAAATGGCTATGATTTGATAATGTAATTACTTTATGTGCATTCTATCAGTCAGTTTAAGTAATGTGTCATATATTTATAAACCTAAAATATTACAACACAACTGTGTGCATTATATTTATATATCCGAACTTGTACCACAATATAACTGTGTGTCTTAATTTAAAAACCTGAATTATTACAACATACCTGTGTCTTACATTTATAAACCTGAAATATTGCCACAACATAACTATGTGCCTTATATTTATATACCCGAAATATTACCCGAAAAATGACTTTGTCTTATATTCATAAACACGAACTCTTAAGACCAAACAAGGCTGTATTTTGTGTATATACTTGAATTATTACCACAAATATCTGTTTGCCTTAATTCATAAATCTGAAATATTACCACCTGAAATATTAGAACATAACTCTGTGTATTATATTGATAACCTAAAATATTACCACAACATATAACCGCGTGTCTTATATTTATTAATCCGAATTATTACAACATACCTGTGTGTCTTACATTTATAAACCTGAAATATTACATTAAACCTGTGTGTCTTACATTTATAAACCTGAAATATTACAACATACCTGTGTGTCTTACATTTATAAACCTGAAATATTACATTAAACCTGTGTGTCTTACATTTATAAACCTGAATTATTGCCACAACATAACTATGTGTCTTATATTTATATACCCGAAATATTACCCAAACATGACTTTGTCTTATATTTATAAACACGAACTCTTAAGACCAAACAACGCTGTATTTTGTGTATATACTTGAATTATTACCACAAATATCAAACAAACAAACACAATATAACTGCTTGCCTTATATTTATTAACCTAAATATTACCACACCATAACTGTGTGTCTTTTATTTATTATACCCAATCTATTTTCAAACTATTATATATTGTCTTATATTTATCGATCCAAAATAGGACCTGTGTGTCTTATATCTATCAATCCGAAATATCACCACAACATAACTGTGTCTTATATTAATATACCTGAAATATCACAATATAACTGTTTGCCTTAATTCATAAATCTGAAATATTACCACCTGAAATATTAGAACATAACTCTGTGTATTATATTGATAAACCTAAAATATTACCACAACATATAACCGCGTGTCTTATATTTATTAATTCGAATTGTTACAACATAACTGTGTATCTTATATTTATAATCCCGAACTATTAACACAACGTAACTGTGTTATATATATATATACCCGAAATATTACTACAACATATATATGTGTCTTATATTTATAAACCTGAACTGTTACCACAACATATATATGTGTCTTACATTTATAAGCATGAACTGTCACCACAACATATATATGTGTCTTATATTAATAAACCCGAAAACATAGCACAACAAAACTGTGTGTCTTATATTTAAACCCGAACCAGTAACACAACACAAATGTGTGTCTTATATTTATTAATTCGAATTGTTACAACATAACTGTGTATCTTATATTTATAATCCCGAACTATTTACACAACGTAACTGTGTGTTAAATATATATACCCGAAATATTACCACAACATATATATGTGTCTTATATTTATAAACCTGAACTGTTACCACGACATATATATGTGTCTTATATTAATAAACCCGAAAACATAGCACAACAAAACTGTGTGTCTTATATTTATAAACCCGAACCAGTAACACAACACAAATGTGTGTTATATTTATAAGCCTGAAAGATCGCTCGTGACTATGTCTATATATTATGCGCTATGCAGATATAAATAAAACAGACCACAAATGTGTGTATTACCATTCAAAACTTCTCACTTCGTGGTGATATCCAATAAACATAAAATTCAATTTCACGTTTCATGTGCTCACAATTGAATAAGTAGTCAACTTTCATATTTTTGCAAAGTGAATTAACCATAAATATTTAAGTCGAATTTAGCCTTCAGTTTGAAACCTATCAAATTTGTTGTAGATCAAATGCACAGTATTTTATCATAGTACAATAACAAGATACCGATAAATAATAAAGTGCAAACTAGTACATTGACGTAACTGTTATTGCGCCAACGGTTCAAATAATTTATAAATAACTTGTTATTCTTATTCATGACGCATTCTGTGTGTGGCTTAGCCAGTTTCAAATATAATGGGAAGCATCAATTCTAATGGCTGTGAAGATAATGGACATCCTTTTCACCGAATAACTTTTCTATAGGCATTACATGGGATACGGAGACACTTAAGATATATAACCATACATACATTCAATAATTTGACAGACATATTGAATCCAGTCCGTCATTAGTCCGTGTCTCGTAGTTTCCAAGAAGCATACCAAATGCCATATTTCAAACATAATATTTCAATTAACAAGCATCATTAATGCCATGAGCTTTTATGGTGTTTATGAAGATACCACGAAGAGCACATTTCTGTGAATGTGACACGCATCACATGTTCATGCACATTCCGTTATATTTCGTTATCTATCTATCTATCTATCTATCTATCTATATATATATATATATATATATATATATATATATATATATATATATATATATATATATATGTGTGTGTGTGTGTGTGTGTGTGTGTGTGTGTGTGTGTGTGTTGTGATATATATATATTCAAAAATGAGGTAAATGTTCACTCAGTTTACATATAATATATAATAAAATAATAAAGTCAAAAGTTAGTCCAACATCTTCTTTATATCAGTTTCAGACATAGTACTTTCGCTGTCTCATGACAGCTCTTGCTGTCATGTCTTGCTGTCATGAGACAGCGAAAGTACTATGTCTGAAACTGATATAAAGAAGATGTTGGACTAACGTGGACTTTATTATTATATAATATATATATATTGTTAATTAATACCACCAAAATGCTAACGCCAACAAACTCATATTGCTAGTAGATCGATGGCACTGTTTACGACACAGTCAACGAAACAATGTGTAACTACACAAAACATGTATCACTGCATGTGATGTCTTGGTATATTCCGTAGATGTCCCATGTCACAAAATGATATTTATTCATGTAGAGCCATGCTCTAGAAATATTGCTGTATCTGTGTTCTGATATACATGTAGTAGTGTATGTAGTGGTGTGTTGCTACTCAGCGTTGAAGATGAAAATATACAATTGACACAACTACCAGTAGATATAGTGTATAAGCAATCGTAATTAATCATTCATTTCAGTGTATAAACAACACGTTTGCCTCTTACATTCGATATTTATTGATTCAGTATTACACAAATTTAATCATATACATGTAGATCTAAACTGCACAAGAAATTTAACTATTGTGTTGTCTGTTCAAACCTCTTTACCTAATTGTGAAATACTTACATATTTAAACACCGAACGGCATTAAGCCCATATACTTGGTGCCATATTATTAATTACTTGCAAAATTGTTCGGGTGTCTGCAGAATTAATATCTTAATCAATCAATGCATGTGGCAACGGAAAGAAGGACCATTTTCAAATTTTCACTGTCTTCGCTTGTTTCTCTAATTAAAAATATAAATAACGTACATCACGACAAATGGCTAAGGCAGGATCTCATGTTGCGTGATCGCTTCTGTGAATATTTCAGCCTCAACATCCAGGAGCGATCATTGTTATTTTTGT